AGAAGGAAGTATGAAAAGTGGGGAGGGCTGCAGGGGTCTGGCTGGACACAGCAGTGATGGACACTCCATCCCAGCCCTGGGAATCCTGCTGGGGATCCTCTCATGTGCATCTTGTCCTGGGGAGCTCCTGCCTGGCTTTATGGGGAAACTGAGGCACGGAGATGGAAGCAGCCCTCAGGAGTTGGTGGCTGTTTGCTCAGGCTCATAATTTGTTTTCTGGTGCAATTTCATGGAATTCCACGATGGTTTGGGTTGGAAAGGACCTCAAAGCCCATCCTGTCCCACCCCTGCCATGGCAGGGACACCCTCACTATCCCAAATTGCTCCCAGCCTGGCATTGTACACTTCCAGGGATCCAGGGATCAGCCAAAGCTGCTCTGGGCGCTCTGTGCCAGGGCCTCCCCACCCTCCCAGGGAAGAATTTGTCCCAAATACCTCTTCTGAACCTAGTCTCTTTCAGTTTAAAGACAATTTGTGTGTTTAAATGCTGGGGTTCATCCTGCCCCCCTCCCTTGCCACAGACAAACCTTAACCCCTGCTTTCAGCAGCAAAGAGGTTTCAGGTCTGGCTGCTCCTAAGCCCTGGGGCTGCAGAAATTCTGGGATTGCTCTGAGCCACACCATTATTTCAGTGGATTTTGGCCCCTTTTCCATTTCTCCGCTATTCCCACAGTCTCAAAAGTAGAGGCAGCTTTTGCCAGACCCCATCATCCCCTGGAAGATCTGAATTACTCTTTCCTGTACTTTCATCACTCATTAACTACCACCATCTCCTCTCCTGCTTGTTCCCTCACAGCTGCACACATTTGCTTGGAATTTAGAGAGTTTCATTTGCAAACTCCTCTCCTGAGGAAGAGGATGAGCCACAAGTTTTTACAGCAAGCCCAGCAGCTCCTGGTTTCCCTTCCAGAGATGATTCCTACCCTGCTCCATCAGTGCCAGATGCCCAGGGCACCTCCCTGAGCCCCCAAGGACACTCCCTGCTGCAATTAGAGCTCCAATATTAATTAATCGAGGGCGTTCAAGGGTCTGGGGTGTGATTTTACATCCTGACCCCCAAAAATCCAACCCCCCTGAAAAATCCAGCCCTCCTGATGCTGGGGGACTGCTGCTAATTGAGGGACCCTTCAATTAGCTGGAATGAGAAATAAGAAAAATTCCCTTGGTGGAGAGGCTGCGGAGCCACCTGAGCTCCATCCCGGAGCCGCGGGGCTGGAATTAGCGAACCCCAGGTAATTAGTGCTGCAAAGAGAGGACAATTAGCGGAGGCTCATTAGTGCCCTGAGCTGCTCCGTGGCCCGGAGCCGGTGCAGGCTCACACGGATTGCACAGTTCTGCTCGGGAATTCGGGAAAAGCAAAGAAAGTGTCCCTGTGTTTTGCGGAGATAATCAAAACTCCACAAATTTTGTGAGAGTTGTAAAGCCGGGATGTTTATTATTACAGGAATCGTTCCCCTCAAAATGACATGTGTACTTCTGGGAACTTCAGGTCCCTTCTTATCCCCCTCTCAGATACACATGCATACAATTTCACAATAGGTTCATACATATTCATTTTTACGAATTTCATGTGACATTTGCCGCTAGTTCTTCGTTATCAGAAAGATTTCCTAGGTCAGGTTGAGCTGCTCTCACAGCAGTCTCTCTGTCTCTATCACTCTCTTTGTCTCTTCTCTTATCTCTGTCTTTTACTGAAGCAGTTTTCCTGAGCCTAGGTTTTGCAGTCAGGCTAAATAGCTATGTTTTCTTACCACAGACTCAACTCAAAAATGTCCATTTCACCTAAATCAAAATGGATTTCTGCCCTGGAAAATGTCCACTCTGCCTCAACTGCCTGGTTCCACCGCAGGACAGGACCTGCAGGACCCCTCCAGCCTCCTCCAGCCCATCCCATGTCACATCAAAGGGAAAGGGGAGGGATGAGCTGCTCATCCTGCGCCATTTCCCACAGGGAAAGTTAAGCTCCCTGTCCAAACAATAATTCAGGGACCTGCTGCCAAAAATTCCGCCTCTGCCAGTTAATCCCTCTCTGGTTTTTGGACAGGCTCGGGGGGGGGGTGTTTTGTCTCCCCTCTGGTGCCAGGGTGATCCCAACCAGGACTTGAGATGGATGCACACCTGGATGGCGTCCAGCATCCAGGATAGATTCTGCTCCATCCTGGGTGCTGGACACCCTCAGGGGCCAAATTTGTGTGTGGGATAAATCCCAGTAGAGCTGGCGATTCCAGGAGAGGGGATTAGAGGGAGAGAAGTGCCTGGGGCAGCCTGGCTGGAGGGGGATTGAAATCCTTGGAGCCGAGGGGGTGTTTGGAGTCACCTTGGTGGGACACAAAGGCAGAGCTGTCCCGGGGGTGTCCGGGGTGCAGCCGAGCTTCCCAGAAAGGAGGGAGTTGTGTAACTGCCCCGTTTCTGGCAGGCAGGGATGTTATTCCAGGTATCTCCCCCTGTGCCCGTCTCCCCTGGACAACAGCACTGATTTCACTCCAGGGATATCCCCGATATCAGAGAGAGCTTGATAAAACTCCTCTGCCCCAGCACAACCCGGATCTGCTGCTCTTCTGGGTG